ATCAGTGATATTGTCCTACCTACAAGAGCTGTTGGACAAGGGCTGCTCCCCTTCCACGCTCAAGGTCTATGTGGCAGCTATAGCAGCTTTTCATGCTCCTATAGCCGGACAGTCTGTGGGCCGGAACAACTTAGTTGTCCGTTTCCTGAGAGGATCCTGGAGGCTCAATCCGCCCCGGTCCCCCACGGTCCCTGCGTGGGACCTGCCCACGGTCCTGAGAGCCCTCAAGGGCTCCCCCTTTGAGCCACTACAGTCTGCAGACTTGAAAACCCTGTCGTTGAAAACCGCTCTGCTACTGGCTTTAGCATCGGTTAAACGAATAGGTGACTTGCAGGCTCTCTCGGTAAGTCCTGCCTGTCTTGAGTTTGGACCTAACGACTCCAAAGTCATTCTAAAACCAAGACAGGGATACGTTCCTAAGGTGCACTACACCCCGTTTAGAGCCCAGGTTATTACTCTCTCTGTGCTTCCTTCTTCTGAGGAGGACCAGGAATGTAACTTTCTCTGCCCGGTTAGGGCGCTGAGAATTTACATTGAGCGTTCCGCCCCGTTCAGGCGGTCGGAACAACTTTTCTTATGCTTTGGAGACCGCACCAAAGGGTCCCCAGTCACAAAGCAGAGGATTTTTCGATGGTTAGTTGATGCTATCGCGCTAGCATACTCCTCCCTGGGTCTTCAGAGCCATAGGAGTCAGAGCCCATTCCACTCGGGGTGTGGCCTCGTCCTGGGCATGGTCTAGCGGTGTGTCCATAGTAGACATTTGTGCGGCGGCCGGCTGGGCCTCACCGTCCACTTTCACCAGGTTCTATAGCTTAGAGGTTCCGGCCTTGCAGGCTCGGATTCTATCTGCTTAAATGAATACGCACCTGCCTAAGGCAGTCAAATTTTTCAGGTACGCTATTAGCCCTTTCAGTAGTGCTGAGGCTGTACGAAACCGTTGGAATGATTATCCAAGACTGGGCATTATAATCGCCCTGCTTATAATTGGTCCCTCTGAGTCTTTTTTGCTCAAGGCCAGTTTGTGTCAGTCATTCCTCTTTCATGGCACGGTGGGATTGTATTGGTTCCCCCTAAGCGTCTAGCGACGCAGTACGAGTGAAGTATAGAAAGGGAATGTATTCGGTTACTTACGTAACCTCGGTTCCCTGAGATACGGAACTAGTACTGCGTTCCTTGCCGTGCCGTGATGCTGCACGACTCGGTGTCGTCGCTTCAGTCGAATTTACCTGAGATCCTATGGTGAAATGCCCGCTTATATAGCCAGATGGCCCCAACAATTCTGGCGGGCTTCGTCACCATAGGGTCGTGCAGCTCCGCTGCCGAGCCATTGGTTCGTCTTTCAAATACTGCACGAACCAATGGCCGTGCAGTTACACTGCGTGATTGTAAAAGTCTTCAGTCCTCTGAGAAAAAGGAGTTTTCCCCATAAGCATCTAGCGACGCAGTACTTGTTCCCGTATCTTACTCCCAAGTAAGTTTCTGTTCCCAATTAAATTCCAGTGTTTTTTGTTTTTTTTCCATACTATGGAAGTTCAAAAGAGAACAGACATTTTTATCACTCAAATTCTGGAAAGAAATAGCACAAGACATATGAAACGTTCTAGTCCGCATGTGTCATGCTATCAAATGGAGTATATATGCGTGTTAAAACAAACCAGTTCATAAGAATGTCACTGTGACTGTGGTAGAGAAGTGTATTAGGAGTGACTGGTTTTAGTGTTTTAGGTTTCAGACTACAGCGGCCTCAAAGCATTTGGACACACAAAAATGTCTGAATGTCATTGCGTTACATAAATATCAAAGCGAGTGTCATCTTCAAACAGTGATGACAAGATCTTTCTGCATCACCGCAGTGGAAATGAGGTGCTCAAATTAGACTAAGGGGAAGGAATTATCAATGATGTTATCAGTCTGTTAACTAAAGGGTAAAAAAAATGATTCTGGAAAGAGCTTCTGGAAATGAAATCTTCGCTTTCATTTTCAAGATTTTAAGTTTAAAAATGTAATTAATCCATCTCAGAATAATCAAGGTAGTTGTTCAGTGATGTGCTTGACAATCAAACAAACAGTTTTCTTTTCTCTATCTGTGACGTTTCCAAACAGAGTGTGATCAGCACCACTTTATAATAAGGGAATATACTGTATCTAAAAGCCACTTCAAGAGCAGTCAGAGACCTTCAAAAAAACTTTATAGGAACCGAATAACTTACTCCTCATCTGCTAACCTTGAAGATATTCTTGGCAGCAGGGAGCGTTTCTTTCAAGTGTTTTTAACTAAATGAATATAACTACCCTCAGCACACAACTATGCAATAAGGCATTTGGTAAGACATATCCATATAATAAAAGTAAAAATGTAATGTCAAAATATGTACAGTGGAAAACAGAGAAAAAAGAAACTGCAAGTGGATCTTTAAAGATGCAAATACAAGTCTTCATGTTTGCATTTTATTTTATTATTATTATTATTATTATTATGGAGATGTTGCAAGGAGGAGGGGGTTTTGATAAAAAAAAGTATGAGAGCACATGAATTTTAAAAGAATGATGTGGATGGATGAATAGGCAATATTCCATAAAATAAGAATAATCAATATAATTTTTTTTTTTTTTTAATGGTGACTAACAGTCATGAATAAATCATAGCAACATTCACAATCGGAAGCAAATTAATATAATACATAAAATAAAATCATATTGAGTATATTATCCAGTTGGAGGGTTTTTTTTCCGTCGGCGTGTGTGCGTCTGGCAGTGGGCCTCATGCGCCCGGGGTTGAAGTTTGTCTGGGTCAGGCAGCTGGTTGCTAAGGAGCAGAGAGCAGACAGCCATTCTCTCTCACACACACACACTGCGGTGGGGGCTGGGATGGGCTGCCAGAGACGAGTCAACAGAGAAAAGGACAGACAGAGCCAGAGAGGAGAGGAGGGGGTGACAAAGCAGTCTTTCATGCGTGCTTGGCCGTCGTCCTGCGCAGAGTATTTTCGGATCAGCCCCCGTTTTAACACCGTCTTTCTGTTCAAATATAGCACTTTAACCCATTTAGCTTTTACTTTCTTGCTAGATATCAACTTTTACTTGCATAGTTCATCGACTTGCTATTGTTAACTCTCTTTTGTAAAATCTCTGTCTGCATCTCACTCTTCAGTTAACAGCGTTTAGTGTCGTCACTGACCTCTATTCGCTCTGAGTGTGTGTGCGAGAGTGTGCCGGTTGTTTGTTGTGAAAGGGTGCCTGCCAGCGCTGACATCTCTGATATATTTTTAAACTGTCTTCGCCTCTGTCTGTAGTCCAGAGGTGCTGAAGAAGGTTTTTGCCTCACGATCAGGTCAGATCAGAGAGGAGATGTGTGTGAATTTAAATGGGAGTTTTTCTAAGCAGTGAGATTTGAAGCATTCAGCTGGTATAGATTACATTAATTATACTGTAGGAGGGGGAATCACACAAAACCTGCCAAGAGTGTGTCCTAGTTATACTTAACCACAAAATCAAAAGGAAGAAATAAGATATTATACTAAACAGAAAATAAAGCCTAATTTTAGGTGTTTAGGACCATTAGTATTTGCTACCTAAATTCTGATTCTTTATGTAATGCAGTGCTATATTAAGGATATATCATAATTTACTTTATATACATATGTAAGAAATTTATATATTATTATAATATAAATGTTATTGCATAATATGTATTTGTATTAATTTTTTTTGCCAAAGTTTGGGATCAGTAAGATTTTTTTTTTTTTTTTTTTTATCTCTTATGATCAAGGCTGCATTTATTTGACAAATATACAGTAAAAACAGTAATATTGTGAAATATTTTCAATTGAAAATAACTGTTTTCTATTTTAATATACTTTAAAAATATAATTTATTCCTGAGGTGGCAAAGCTGAATTTTCTGAACAGTCTGAACAGTCAGTCAGAAGTGTCACGTCATTTTGATTAAACTTAGGATTTCTGAGCATCAGAACTTTTGCCAACTTTTTTGTTGTTAATTTATCAGTTGTAATTTGTAGTGTTTATGTAAGAGTCATCTCTCGCTAGCCTGAGAAAGGACTCTCTTTAAGCACTGAAGACCCAAGGCTGCTAATATCAGAGCTGGATCCAGACTTTGGGTTTTCAGATCCTATTGGTCCTGTGAAGACCTAGTTTACACTAGAAATGGGATGTAGTCACTTGCTCTCCCCTGGTCACCTCCAAATATAGTTTAGGTGATTAAGTGATTTGGACCCAGTTTCGGCCCATATTCTGTATCTCAAAAAAAAAAAAAAAAAAGACAGCTGTTTCTCTTCTCAAAAAATCTAAGTTCGGTATGACGAGCTTTCTGGCTCTGCAGGTTAACACAAGTACCATTGAAGTGTCATGTGGTAGCTCCTCATCTGCTAACCTCGAAGATAATATTGGCAGCTCTTCTATAATGTTTGAGTAAAACTTCCCACAGCACAGATTGATGTTTATTACAACTGCAGTAAGGCATTTAGTAAGGTATATCCATATAAATGAAAGTAGAAATGTAATTAATTGATATACAGTTGGTTACAGAGGAAAAAAGAAACTGCTAGTTGATGATAAAATTAAGGATGCATGGTCCTCTCATTCCCCACAGCTTATAAGAGGGGGGGAAACGGTCAAATCAGATAAACATATCATAGAAATGGCAAGCAGAATGGGAAGAATGTTCAAATAACAAACTTTTTAAAATAAATTCTGTTGTAGGAACAAGATGTATTAAATCTAGGCATGACAAAGTTTTGTATACAAGGTGTCGTATTGGACATAGATGAACTCATGGACATTTATTGATTGGTGAAGAAGCACCAAAATGTCAATATTGTGGGATTCACTTGACGGTGAAACATGGGCTTTGTTTGCCATGAAATACCCTGTGAAACTGATGTTCCAATAAGCTAAAATCAAGTCAACTCAAGTCAAATCAGAAATATTTTGTCTTCTGTCATTTTTATTGTTTAATGAGAGTCATTTCTCGCTCTGTCTCTGCAGGATTCAGGGTCTTACCCCTCCAGCACTCATGTTCCCGGCCCGGGTAACACTATGACGCCACAACAGAGCAGCAACAGCATCCCAGGGAGCCACAGTAACGCGGCCTACATGAAGCAGCAGCAGCAGATGCAGCTGATCAGTCAGCAGAAGCAGTTCCTCCAGAGACAGATGATGGCCGAGCAGGTGCCGTGGCCAATATTCTTGTTATTTTTGCTTCTATAATATGCCAGCAATAGTAACATGATTAAAGACAGCAATGTTCAATTACATTTGTTATTAATAATAATCATCCTCATAATTAATAATTCTTTAACCAAATGATACAGTTGTGGTCGCAAATATGGAATTCAGTTTTTATCAGCAGATGGTGATTATATTTTACAACTTCTTCAAAAGTGGCTCATTTAAACCAAACTTGGAGCCAAAACTGTGTGTTTGTGTATAGATCTGTTTGGAGTAGACGTCACTTACAGCTGCGTGTGCATAGTGGTGGCAGAACAACACTGGTGACACGTGGAGGGGAAATCCATGGAATAAGAGAAAAAAAAATATTTTTGTGCCTTTGGATTTCAGAATCGGAAGGCAAATCCATATAATAATATAAACTCATGATTGTGACCCGAGGGAAAAGATAGAATGACGAGTTGTTTTTCCTTTTCATAATTGTGAGATAATCTCGGAGTTGCGAGAATAAAATCAGAATTTTAAAATATAAACTCAAATTGACCTCTTTTCTTTTATTCCATGGCTTCCATAGACTGCTACTTGAAAACTGTCAGTTTCTGCCACCAGATAGGCTCCGCCCACAAGGAAAACGTCATCACTGTTTGTAAACACCGAATTGGTCTACAAGTTCCTGCTAAAGTTCATTCCATCCATCAATTCGGTTGTGGCTAGAAAGGGGTACAGCTAAAACCGGAAGCGAACCATAAATTAAATTTTCTACCTGTTAGATTGTGTTTTATTAAAGGGTTAGTTCACCCAAAAATGAAAATTGGCTTGTGTTTTACTTGCCCTCGAAGCATCCTAGGTGTATATGACTTTCTTCTTTCAGACGAATCCAGTCGGAGTTATATAAAAAATTGTCCTGGCTATTCCAAGCTCTATCATTGCAGTCAGTGGGTGTTTCTGTTCAACTGTCCACAAGACGTCAAATAAAGCTCGAGCATTCATAATAAAACGTGTTGCAGACGGCTCCGGGGGATGAATAAAGGCCCCCTGTAGTGAATCCATGAGTTTTTGTAAGAAAAATATCCATATTTCAAACGTAATAAACACTTACGCATCTACACCTACCCCTTACATAATAAGCATCTACACCTACCCCTTACAATAATGCAAAAACAGTAATTATTGTTGTACAGTGTGACAAAAATGGCCCTATATAGATGTGCGCATGCCCAGTAGACGAATCTGAATACCATCTAGCCTTAACACATCAATTCTCTGGGTTGTCCTGATTTGAAAATCCACCTCTAGGGGGCAGCAGCCTCACAAGAATAATAAAACCTTTGGCAGCAGTGTTGTTCCTCTCCTAAAAGTCTGTTAATATCATCGTCGATCGCAGTATTTGAAGTACTAACTGAAGTGTGTTTGACTCAGGAGAAGCAGCAGCTGCAGAGGCATCTGACCCGTCCACCGCCTCAGTACCAGGACCAACAGAACCCGCAGGCCCAGCAAAACCCATTCCAGCAGCAGCAACAGGTCTCTCAGTTCACCGGTGTGCCGCTCTGCCTGGCCCAGCAGCACTCCTCCGGCTTAAGCGAACACACCATCTCCGGTATTCACCTTTCTCTTCTTGATCATCACTTGGCCCCTTTAACTCCTGCTGTTTGTTACATGTTGCATCAACAGGATGGACACACATGGGTGGATGCTAGAAATTAGAGTGGAATAAGAATAATTAAGCGGTTTGGTCTTGACTTGAGATTGGATCACATGAGTCAGATGTTAAACAGGTGTAAATGAGACCTGTGTTTTTCTGATTACGAGAAAAGTTCAGTATGACACAAGCTTCCTGGATCTGTAGGTCAACACAAGTAGCCTTTTGTTACAAACAAGCCCATCTGATTTGCAAGTGTGTTTATTGATAGACTCATTTGAATGACAGGCACACAGTAAGTTTAGTGTGTGCTGCCGTTACATACAGCAGCTATCGTTCATCTGCGAGTACTTTTAAAAGCTTAGTTCACCTAAAAATTTTCATAATTTATTCACCCTCATGTTGTTCCAAACCTAAGAGACTGTGTTTTGAAGAATAATCAAATGAATGTTTTAATTCAAATCAAAACTTGGACGATCCAAAAAAAAAAAAAAAAATCATAAAGACGCCATGAACAGGTTAGGGTTAAGTCTAACCATAAATTTGACCTGTACACTCTATGTATGTGTTGATCATTGTTTAAATGTAAATAAAAGCTGAAGTTAAATCTGTTCTTTATATTAGGCAAACGTATCTCTTCACAAGACTGCTAAGGTTCATGTAGATTTGTTTCATGACTCCTTTATGACCTTTTTGGATCAAAGTTTTGCTTGGACTGTCGGGCAGTAACCTCTCTGGTTTCATTAAAATTAACGACTTGACTTATCAAAAATCTTGTGTACATGCTTGAGTGTAGAATGTTTCTGGTTTGGTTAAGGAGTATTGCTTAAAATCTGCATTAAATGAAAATTCACCCTATATATTTTCCAAATCCATTTTATTAGTCTCGCTGTGAATTATTTAATTTGGAACAAATTCTTTGACCTAGTAATTGCAAGCTTATATTCATCTGCCTCCACTGCTGCGTGCCACGCCCACATCTTAACATCCAATCAACAACTGATATATATAGAACCAAGTCCCGCCCCATAATCTTTTACACTCAGATGTACATTACAATATTGAAGAAAAGATCTGTGGCTTCTTCCATTTCACTTTAATTTCACTGGTCAACACTGAAAATCTAAAAAAAATAAATAAATAAATAAAAATTCTAAATGGCAAATTATGCCATGTTCTAATTGTGATTGTGTGCCCTACTCTATTTTAGGTGCATCTCAACCAATAGGAAATGTCAGCTCTCTGAGTGGCCCCACGCCTGGAACGCAACGGATGTTCTCTCAGGCACAAGGCATGATGGGAATGGGGGTTGGTCAGAATACTGGACCAAGCACTGGTCCAGCTCCAGCTGCCAGTCAAGCAGACATGAACCTCCCATCCTGCGGTCTCGACGTGCAACAAGTCCTCTACGGCAACATGCCCATGCATCCCTCCCACCCCAACCAGCAGAGACCGTCAGTGTCCTCCATGTCTGCCGCTTACCGCCAGAACGTTCTAGCGGCTCAGCAACAAGCACACTTGAAAAACCAGCCCAATGCTGCTATGCTGAAACAACAACATCAGCAACAGCTGGCCCGTATGCCCAACAGCATGCCCAACGCCTTGGCTAATAACATGGGCTCTGCTATGCCCAGCTCCATGCCAACCAATATTCAAGGTGCCTTGCCCTCACAGGCCCAGTCATGGCAGCAGCAGCCCCAACAGCATCCAGGTCTCCAGCCCGGCTCTGCTAACGGAGGCATGCCAGCAGGTTTCCCCAACTCTGGCTTTCAGATGCAGTCAAGATTGTCCAAACTTCCCAACAACACCCCGTTTCCCCAGGGAGGCATGGGAAATAGTGCAGCTGGTAGAACCCTGGCAGGTATGAATCCTGGACAAATGATGCCTAACATGAACCAGCAACGGACCAATAACCCAGGCATGGCCCAACAGCAGGGGCAGGGGCAGCCGCAAGCGCAGTCTCAAACTCAACAGGTTCTGCCTGACTTGGGACCTTTCAGCCAGCCACAGGCCGGACCCAGCCGCACCGCAGGACTTCAGTGCAGTCAGGCCTATCAGCTCAACAGGACAGCCAATCAGCAGCTCCAGTTTAGCTACAGCGCCCAATCAGGAAGCAGCTTGTCCGGGTTTTCTGCCGAGACCGACCTGGTGGACTCTCTGTTAAAGAATCCGACAACGCAAGAGTGGATGGATGATCTAGATGAGCTGTTGGCCAGTCACCAATGAGTGATGGTCACAGGCCAATACTAGTGCCTTTGGTAGAGGAGAAAACTTGTACATCCACATCACGTTTTCAGAGATGGTGAAACTGCTCATATCACGGTCAGATCTGCTGTGTTCTCTATTGAGTATGTATATGGTGTATATAATAGAGGTCAAGTAGAGCACAGAGCCTGTGTCACTGAAGTATTCTCTGGACTGGAAATGTCAGAGAGAAATGCTCTACTACTGAACCTGTGGCTCAGTAAAACCACTGAATTTTCTTATGACAAGTGTGTGCTGAAACGTGTGTTCAGCCATCATACGGTTGTGTTGCCTATGTGTTCGCTGTAGGCACGAGGAGGCTCTGTTCAATGTCAGGAGTGTCTTGACGCTTCCACAGGCCTTAAATTTGCACTCTTGAAGATGCACAACATGTGATTTACAGTAAAACGGTCTAACGCAATAGTTAACTCAAATGAACATATTTGAATCATTTACCATGTTTGTCCAAATCCATAAGACTTTGCTTCATGATGCTCCCAGCAGGGTTTAGCCCCAACCCAAATAAAACACACCTGAACCAGGTAATCAATTCTACAGGATCACTAGAAAACAGAGATGGTCTTTTTATAGGGAGATGCCGACTTGCATGGCTCTGCTGTTGGAGGTTGAATGTTGGTGTAACAGTCAACGTGGATCACGTGCCTTGATAACCAATCACATTATATCTGAATTGCTGTCAGATCTGAATGAGAGTCAGTCACTGATTATGGATACCATGCATTGAAATGAATGAAAAATACAGCAAAAGCACTTCTGATGCAAAAGTGACCGAATTCTCTTCTAAAATCATTTTCATTGTAAACTCCAAAAAATGATTCCAAATTCCAAAGTGATTGTTTAATGGCAAACAATTAGATTCATATAGTAACAAGCTGCTCATCACAAAAGCAGTGTATTCAGAGTACTGAAGCCTCTTCTCCATCCAGAAAACTGAGCCTGTGTGTATTAACATTCTTCATTTTTATCTTCCACTAAAGATAGTCATGTGAGTTTGGAACGGCGTAAAGTGACAGTTCACCTAAACTAAAGTTGTCATCATTTAAGTTCCATATGGTTTATGTTCATTGGTTAGTTTCTCATTGACTAAATTTAGGAAGTAGATGCTTTGTGGTTTGTTTACTCAGGCCGTGACCGCTTGAAGGCGTGTAGCTGAGACTAATAGTGAGGAGGATGAACTGATGAACTCTACAGTGCTCCAGTGAAAGTAGATCGCGTCATTAGACTTTCATGTTACACTACACTAAGTTGTGTTTGTTTTTTTTTCTCTTTTTTTCTGAAAAGCACAGAGCTTCTGTGTTGGTGAGAGGGTTAATATTCCTGTTTGTTTTCTCCCTCTGGTGTCTGATGTTACATTGAGGGCAGGTCCGGTGCTGGTCCGAACCGCATTACCTGAACTCTCTCTTCATCTGAGATTCTGTAACAGGATTTCATGTATATTTATATATTATTTTGTATGTATGCAGTTTTTATTGTTCAGGAGAAGATAGATCTTATTTTTATATGTACATTGTTGCAAAATTTTGTAAGTATTTTATACTTTTTATTATTGTTCTCTGTAAAACAAGAGTATTTTGTAAATATAGTTCTCTAGAAACGGTCTTGTTTGGTGTGTATGTTTATTGTTTTATGCATGTCTCGAAAGGTTTGTGCATTAGCAACTAAGTTTTGACGTGTAATGAGTTTCAGAAAACACATTCCAATAAACATAACCCCAGCTTAAAAAACATCTTGGCACAAAATAAGTAATGATCAAAAAGCCGTGGAATAAAAGGAGGGCAAAGGCATCTTTTGTTCAGAAATTATAAAGTTAGTTGTTACACCAGATTTTCAATGAGATTTTGTTAAGACAACTAGCGTTCATTTCTTTCAAAGGATAATGGGGCTGTTTCTCATTTACTTTTGTTGAATGCATCATATGCAATATGTCTAGCAATATGTGCTGACAAATCTCACTAATAGTGATGTAATTCGGGTTATAGCTATGTCCCGCCCATTCTAGTCATGCTAATATAAGAGTGATTAAAAGAGCTGCCTGAGAGTGTGGTATGAACAGATATAGAGGATAGTGTCGGACCTCACTGTGCACAGAAATGATGCTGGAGCAGGTCGTGCTGTTAGCAGCCGTCACAGTTTTGGGATTGCTGGAACAAGGTAATTACCACATGATTGTAGATGGTCAATCAAATCGATATTTGTCAGTTTTGACTTTCATATGCTCAGAGAAACAGATTGCACTGTATGATGAAACGCGCTGGTGTCCTACATTAAAGTTATAGCTCGCGCTAGAATGGAGATAAAAATATCATACTGTAAAATTGACCGTAATTGTATCAGTGAGTGTTGCTGTAGTATATGTGAAAGTTGGACTTTAGAGGAGAGAATGATCAGTAGAGTTATAAATCATGTTAGAAAGCCCAGCAAACAGTGGCTGTTTAAAAATAATAATAATAATACACTGAGTTTTAGGCTTGATCGAAGAAAAAAAATCGAAATGCACTCTGTACGATTTCCTAAACTACTACTAGGATGTACGCATTTTAAAATAATATATGTATTGAAATTAGTTGGACAAATTCATTTTGAGCGGTTCTCACGCTTTTTCTGTAATAAAATGTTTATCCAAAACTAAAAATTCTGTCATTTACTCCCCTCGCGTCGTGGATGTAGGATGTAGCATGAGCAAGAACACCTAAAATGCACGTGTAGATTCAGTCGAGTGATAAAGTTTACCCTCTTCAACTTAATGCTGCTGAACTGAATTTATGGAGCAAACTATTTGCTAAAATAACCATAACATTAACAGCACCGCTGAAATACAAGCGCGCGGTTCTGTCCGTCAGATGCGCGTGAAAGCTGTGTTACTATAACAAACACTGCCTGTTGTTGTTTTTTTCAGAATCATCATTGGCTGGTACACAAAAATAGGTTACATAAAAGTTTTTACCTAAAAATGAAGATAAGGTAAAGGTGTGAATAATTACATTTTAGACACATTGTCAGTAATTTTACCAATGAAAATAAAGCCCTTGGAGAACCGTTGTGCGTCTTTGATCAACACACAGCGGTGTTTCATTAATAAATCCACGTTTTTAAATGAATCGAGTGAATCAATGATTCAGTGAACTATTCATAAAGGCAGTCACTTGCTTCGTTTCTGAATGAATCAGCTGTTTGAACGAATCGATTGAATGAATGACTCACTTAAGACAGGGATTTTCCGCCACCTACTGGCGCATTTAATTTTATATTCAGAGTATCGTTTCTTTTTCAAATAATTTCATATTTCACTATTTGTTTGTATTTTTTTATGTTGAATTAAAATATTTCTTTCTAAAGCTACTTATATTTCAGATACCTTTTTGTAATGTCTATTCAGTGTTTTTTTTTTCTAAATTAACACAATGATAACTTATCTTTAATAATAACTTTATCTTTAATCGGCACATGTACATGTTAATTAATTAATCTCATTAATTTGAGATTCATTTGATTAATTGATCGGCACATTATGTAATTACATACATAATGTGTTCTGCCCTCCCCGATGGTCACTGCGTAATTCGCACCCTGGGGTGATGGATATATTTTTAATGAAAAACCAAACATCCAGATTAAGAACAGTATATTTTGCAATGTGTGTTAGTAATTTCTTTACCTTCACAATCCGTCTGATCTGATGGAAGTGTGTTTACCGTCCTGTCAGCGTACTTCTCTCTGAAGGTGATCTACGCGCGGAGAAAGCACTCGGTCTCTCCGCCTGCCACCACCGGACCTCCGGAGTTTGAGAGGGTCTTTCGAGCCCAGTAAGTCAGGCATCTGTCAACTGAATCAACTTCACTGAGAGGAATGTAGATCTCGACAGGTTTAGTCTCATTTGTCATATTCTTGCTTTACCAGAGCAAACTGTTCAGAGTATTTCCCCCTGTTCGTCTTCTCGCTTTGGCTGGCTGGAGTTTTCTTCAGTCAAGGTGAGTTTCCCTGAACTGAAAAAACCCAAGAATTATCAGGTAGACTGATGGCAGTTCAACTTTGTGCTCACAGAACATATGAATTAATCTTGATAAAATGCAGAGACCACACTTTTATAGTTTGTGGTATTAATAAGTCACGGTCAAGCAGCTTGATGTGCTCACAAATATCAGTCAAACCAACATTTATTCAAACATTTCTCACATCAGTTTATTCGCTAGAAAATGGTAATAAAATAAGCTATGACAAGAACTCAGAGTTAAACTGTGTCAAAACAAATTCATCTTGATAATGTCAGATAACTTTGATAGAAAGGTATGTAATGAATTCAGCTGTTAAATTTAAGTACACAATACGATAATACCAATTTAGGTCAACCAGTTACCAAGCAATGTTTAATTTTGTTCAGTCTGTGGTGTAAAAAGGTCGCATTAGCAATTAAAGAAAAGCACTTACCCTGTGTCCCAATGTGCATACTATCCACCCTATCTGCCCTAAATAGTATTGAAAATTACTTTCTCATAGAATTTAGAATGGATAGTATGCCCACTGGGACGCAGGCAAACATGGTCAGGTCAACGTGTCTGAATAATGTTTGCTCCCAAATTTTTATCAATTTTACTGGTAGTCCACTGTATGATGAATTTCTGGGTATAATACCGTTTACTTTATTTTGCTATCCTCACAGGACAACTATAGTGTCCTGCACCCACTAGTAAAAAAAATATCAAAAGTTATATCTGGTCTCTGAATAATTTTTGGTTTGACTGTACATTCTGCTACTGGTGCAAGCACAGAAACACACTTGATTTATTTGCAGAAAAAGAGAGCATCTAGAATGTTACATTCGAAAGAATAAAAATGCCAAGATGTTCCTTCTGGTCTGTTTGGATGGGTTTATCATGGTTTTTGGGCACTTGAGAGACGTCAAACTGGTAGAGCAGCAAAATAGCTTGGCTGTGTTGAGCGAGCATCTAAACCAGAGACGTGTACAAAGGGGAACTTTCCCTCGTGAGGACTGTATAAATAATATATCTGCCTTGCTTTGGTTAGCTATATTTAGTCTATCTAGATTAAATGGCAAAAAAAAAAAAACTCTCACATCTGACATCTCACACCTCTGATTTGCATGTAAACAAAAAATCCCTGGAAAACGTTTTATGCAAAACACTATGCCTGTTCTGTTGCTGTTGTGTTCTTCAAAAACACCTCCATTCAGACCTAAAGGAATAAATGTAAGCCTAAATTAAGGTGGTGATCAATATTAGGTTAAGTCAAGCATCACAATTACAGTTACTTGGGTTTAGTGATATGAACAAACCACTCGCACAGAAAATGACATGATGATTTTCTTGCTCTCTAGCATTGGCAGTGATGTTCGGGCTGCTGTACCTTTATGGACGGTATCTGTACTTCCACGGCTATGTGGAGTCTGCTCAGGGCAGGTGAGTGATCCAGCACTGTAGTTATGTTCATGTTTGCCCAGTCGTGCTGCTGACCCCTTACTGTCCGCTGGCAGACTGGAGCCGCTGTACTTCAGTGCAAAGATGCAGTGGATGCTGATCGCTCTGGCCGGGCTGGGGGTCGTCTGCACCATGACACAGGCCTATCTGGGACTGGACCTGCTGCACTCCTTTAGTCATGTTCTGGGCCTGACCGAACACACATGAAGGATCTGGACGCAGGTCTGCAGGAAGCTGAGGACAGGGAAAGCTTTAGCACCTGCAATGGAATAGGTGACAAAACCACAAAAATATGTATATTTTTCTCCTCTAAAGAAAGATTTATATCAAATGTATTTATATAAAAAATGAATACAGGCTACTATTGATTGCTCCAGGAAAGACTCAAAGAGTGTGAGTTCATCTGCAGTGTACTCATGCAAAACCATCAGTTATTCAAATGTTTGCTTCAAATGTTTAATAACTGCATAGAAACCATTACTGTTAGTATTTTCAAATAGCTAAAATTAGTTTACTTAGTATATTATTACGTTTATATTTCAACTAGAGGCTTTTAACTGATTTTTGTGTTGACAGTCGACCAATGGACATAAATACGGATCTCACAGGAGAATTCTGTCTTGTTTACCACCATTTATTTTTTCAAGTGATGCATTAGGTGCTTTTGATCAATTTGATATTGTTTGACTAGATAAAGCATTTTATGCATCCTAAATACAGTTAAAATGTTTCACTTTTGGAATAAATTTACAAAAATTACAACTCGACTGGAAATACATTAATGCTAGAAATATCTTTATTGTAGAAAAAATATATTTTTTTCAAAAACCACAAAGAGACACTTCTATTTATATATATATCATTTCCAAGAGTCATTAAGTTTTCATTTCTAAATAAGCATTTTTATAATATTTTCTGTTAACTGGTAATGTGTAAATGTATGCATTTCTAATCTATACACATTTATAAAATTCACGAGACTTTAAGATTTATATCAAATGTATTTATATAAAAAATGAATACAGGCTACTATTGATTGCTCCAGGAAAGACTCAAAGAGTGTGAGTTCATCTGCAGTGTACTCATGCAAACCCATCAGTTATTCAAATGTTTGCTTCAAATAGAAACCATTACTGTTAGTATTTTCAAATAGCTAAAATTAGTTTACTTAGTATATTATTACGTTTATATTTCAACTAGAGGCTTTTAACTGATTTTTGTGTTGACAGTCGACCAATGGACATAAATACGGATCTCACAGGAGAATTCTGTCTTGTTTACCACCATTTATTTTTTCAAGTGATGCATTAGGTG